ACGGAATAGGTCCAGCGATTTCAGTTTGATCCCTTAATAAGTCAACAAGGTTTTATTACTATTGCAAAAGTAAAATCCACATATTGCTATATTTTCTCCTTTTTTTCTCCAAAAATGAAATTTTGTTCTAACAACTCAACGGCAAAATGATTGATAGATGTACTCAGGAAGCCATTACTCGTGGCTCTTGATTTTCACTAAAATTAACGCAACGATGCCTCTATGGTGATGACTTCCATCAAGGCAAGCTATAAAAAAGAAAACACACACAAAAAAATAAGTTACAGGTGCTCTTTTGAATCATTATTCCTAAACAAGCAGTTTTGGTGGATCCTGATGAAAGCCTAATTTTATTTTCTTCATTTTAGCACTGGCAGCACGTGCCATGTGTTTCATCTTCTCGACAATTCGCATACAACATTAACGCCACAAAAAAAGTTGCGTTAATATTTTTTAGGTTATGTGATTTAGGGGTTCGAAGTTTTTTTCCCATTTAACTGAGGCTTCAAAAATATGTCAAGCAAATAGAATACCACCCTTAGGCGTCCATCACACACGTATCCTTAGTCCCTATGTGCTATTCTAGAGAAGAAGGCTTGGATTATTTCACCTCAGTAAGCTGACCTTGCGAGTGAAATAGTATTATAAAACAATATAAGGGAACTACTACTAAGACGATTWGACAGAGATTCTAACGACTACAAGATCCCAAAAAATGACACATGGCCTCAGTACAAGTACAAAGTCGTAACCATTGCTGTTCGTGAGTTTCTGCATTCTCAAACGTAAGTCTTCCACAATTCTTCTAGCTTTTAATTCTGTAATCCGTCCCTCTACTCCCAGTTTCTTCTATGTGAATCCAAACGAGATGGAGGCTGACTCGACAACCTCGCGGTTTTCTTAGCCTCCATGCACGAAGTCTGGAACACTGTTACCTTTAATTTTTTACATATGTATCTTTTCCTGTTTCTTTTTTTTTTTTTATGTTAATATTGTAACTGAAACTTGAGTGCTAAATAAAGTAAAGTTCAAGTTGAAGTTGAGTGGCATGCAAACGGTTCATACTCCGTCAGGTCATCAATAAAATAACAAGACAAAATCCACATGGCTGAGAATGTCATTGCATCAATCAGTCAATAGATATATCACAGAATTGTCAAACGTATAAGACAGATCACCATGAAAAGAAAAGAGACAACCTCAGTGCCACTGAGGTTGTCCTTCACACCTCGATCTGTACTCTAAAAATCCACACACGCACATTCGTGGTTTATGTTTAAAATATGTATTATGTCCGCGGTTCTTAATTGGCATTATAACATAGCTAGAAGAGCCGCGCAATCAAATTCATTATACGTAAGCGTGCTAAAAATCCCGATAGTACACGCTGATAGCGTGAGCAAATCGCTTGGCCTATTTT